TCTAAATTGTAATTATTTTTTAAAATGGCCTAATTTCTTATTGTATATTTTTTCCTATTCACTTTTCTATTTTGTATGCTTTTCTCAATTTTTGACAAAATCTTTTACGCGTATTTTAATTTTGTATCAAAACACATTTATTATACTCTGTTTAAATGCACACATATCATTAACTAGATTTTTACTAGGTTTTAATATGGAAAATTATACACAATTTAAATTCAACACATATATTTTGTTTGATTAGGTATAATGACATATGGTTAACATTCAAACAAGTCACTAGATTATAAACTCTAATGTGTAATTTCTTTTGAAAACTATAACTTTGTAAGTATTGTATTCACTTTTTATGTTTAATTTGCATTCAAACATACAGATTTTGATTAAATATATGCACATGTGCAATAAAATTTATTCATTATTTACAAATGTATTCTATTTTAAGTATATACACAAGTTTAATATGCAGTATACAGTTATATAATGACATGTGCTATTCATATAAATCATTAGCATACTAGCTCTATTTCTTTTAATATTTATTTATTTATCTTTATCTATTTATCCAATTTCCTTTTAAAAAATTAATGCATAATCAGCTATGTAAATTTATATTAACATTGGAAATCTTTTTATTCTAGTGATTGACTAAATCCATACCATTATTTGAGGAACACTTAAATATTTAAACATAAATCATTTATTATATTACATGAAATGTCATTGCATTTTAACATTTTCTTTAGATTTTCATTAATGGTAGTTTAGTCATTTGTTAATACAAGTAACTGATTTACATTTTCTGTTTTTCTTTATTTAATTCTTATATATCTATTACCAAACACATTGATTTTTAAATATTATTTAGATTAGTTTAACTCCAATTACCAAACACATTTACATAATTTAAATATTTCCATAAATAATTATTTCTAAAATTCTAATTAATCTTAAAATTAATTACATCCAAATTTATATAAACCGAAATGAAAATTATAATTACTATATATGTATAAGTTTAATTATAAATATGTATATATGTAAAATATTTAGCAGAAAAAATATAACAAAAAAATACTTTTCATACATGCCAAACAAACATGTTTATAAGCAAATAACAATTATAATTACTATAAATATATCTAATTAAATTATATACATGTACACAATATAAAACATATTATAAAACAAATATTACAAAAACAATAATCGTATTCTTATTAAGCAATAATATAACTAGACACATATGTTTGTAGGCAAATAAATTAAGACATCATTTTATGAATAATTATATATTATTTGTTATATATTTAGAACAATCTAATATCAATTCAAATTTCGATTAAATTAATTCAAAATTAAAAGCACCATAATTAATTAACAGTAAATTACAATAACCAAAAAGTCAAAGTCAAATTATATTTAGTTATATCAAATATCTAATTAATCGATTGCACTAAATATTGTGATATTAATTAATGATCACCAAAATTATGGAGCAAGCATCGTAAATAAATTAAAAATTAACTAAAAAATAGTATCTGCATAAATTTAAAGCATATTCTCAAAAACATGGATTTTAGTATATTTTCAAAAACATTCCAAACAATATTGATAATTTTTTTATTGTGGATGTAATAAATAACCATATTAATAATAATAAAAAAGTCAGTAAATTAATAAAAGATTCAGACTCACAATCAACAAAATAAAAAGCATTTATTATAATATGATTTCAACAAATTATAAGGGAAATGATAACAATAACTTATGTTATCTCATTTTCTCTAATTGTTTTGGCTAAAATTGTTCTCTATTTAGATTTTCCAAAAGAAATATCTTTCCAAACATCAACATTTTCTAGTCGAAATTAATTTTTATTATGTTTAATATTTTTTTCAGTTTATTTATTGTGTATATGGTTGTTATGTTTAATCTTATAGCTTTACATTTATCACTCTTTTGTTTGAGAAGAGGGAGAAGAAGAACAAACCATAAGGAGAAGAAGAAAGAGAAGAAGGAGGAGAATAAGGAGAAGGGATAGATGAGAAAAAGTGATGAAGAAGAACAAGAATGAAGGAGAAGAAGGAGAATTGATGAAGAAGAACCACAGAGAAGAAAAAGAAATGCGAAGAAGATGAAGAAAAAAAACAGAAAAGAAGAATGGAGAAGGAGAATGGATGAAGAAGAAAAAGGCATGAAAGAGGAGGAGAAGAAGAAGAAGGGACGAAGAAAAAGAGGGGATGAAGTAGAATATCGAATAACATAGAAGAAGGGATGGAGGAGAAGACGAATGAGTAAATAAGTGTCATTATCTCGACTGGTAAGGATCCTATAAAAAGCTTAGAGGTCACTTGATCGAGTGACGCTTAAGACGAAACTAATATTACATGATGTGGCTTCGGGCCTGGAGAGATTGCAGGCTTCAGTCTAGAACCTCATGGTAATCCAAAAAAAAAAGAAGGAGAAGAACGGAGAAGAAGAAAGGAGAATAAGAAAAACGAAGGAGAAAAAAGATGTAAAAATTCAAGTTTGACTTATAAGAGAATTGGGGTGTGTGGGTTTAAAGAGAGATCTTTTATTAGAATGAGCCGGAGCTTGATAGAATACACGGTGGTTTAGGTCGTCGGAATAAGAACGCCGACCTAAACTTTTAAGGAAATGGAATCGAGAGCTAGAACAATAAGATTTCAAGTTTTCCCTAGGTCTCGAGAGAGGATTTTTGGATGATTTGAGAAGTCGAGGACTTCCCGTATTTATAGCCGATCAGGTCGGTCTTCAATGCCTATTCGAAAAAGGAAAGTCTTCCTGCTGATAAGACTAAACTTCCGTTTTTCCCGGGTTAGCTCGATAAATGGAAGATTTCCATTTATTTAGCCGACCTGAACCTTTTCAATTGGGCCACCAGAATTCATATCGGGCTTTTAGAGATGGTATGAATCTCATCTTTAACAAAGGAGAATGAGAAGAACAAAAATAGATGAAGGAGGAGAAGAAGAAGGGATTGAGAAGAAAGAGAATAAGTAGGAGAATAAAGAGAAGGGATGAATGAGAATACGAGTGGATGAAAAAGAATAACAACAGAGAAGAAGGAGAGAAAGAAGAAAAAAAGAGAGAAAAAAAGGAGAAGAAGGAGAAGTAGTGATGAAGAAGAAAAAGGAACGAATGAGAAGAAGGGATAATAAGAAGGATGAAAAAGAAGAAAAACAAAGGAGAAATGATGAAGAAGAACCACAGAAAAAGAAGAAGAACAGCAGAGAAGATGAAAAATTAACGGAAAAAAAAAACCAAAAACGAAAGTATTAGCCCACGCAAAGGAAAAAGAAGGAGAAAATAACAGAAAAAGGAAAAATAGAAAGAAGAAGAATAAAAATATTAAACTAACTAATATATATTCATTCATATAACTGAATTATAAAAAAAAATTAAGATGTCAAAAATTAAATACTTTTTCAATTGAATTGCCAAACAAATAAGTATAGAAGTTGGGTTTAGAAAACAACAATAAAATAAAACATGAGCAAATTAGTTAATATGGTTAGATTGTTTAAAAAAAATAGGAAGAAAAATTAAAAGAAGAAGAAGGAAAAAAAACATAGAAAAAGAGAAAAAAATATAGAAGATGAAGAAGTAAAAGAATGGAGAACTAGAAGAAGAATATAGAAAAAAAAAATGAAAGAGACAAAAAACGGAAAAAAAAAGAGAAGAATATATATGAAGAAAATGAAGAATAGAGAAGAATAAGAAAAAAAATGAAGGAGAAGAAAAACGAAAAACAAGAATGACATAAAGAAAAAAGAAGAATGCAGAAGAGAATGATGAAGATGGCGAAAAATAGGAAGAAGAAGAAGGGGGAAGAAGAGAGAAGAATGAGAAAAATAGAGAAAAAAAAAACGAATGGAGAAAAAGGAAGAAAAAAAGAAAAAAAGAACCAAAAAGAAAAATAGAGAATAAAAAGAAAGAAAAAGAAGAATGGAGAATGGAAAGGGAGAAGAAGAAGAAGAAAAAAACTAAATACAATATTAAAAAACATATTATCTTTTACAATAACAACCCGCATATCTACAATTACATTATATTTGAATAAGTTACATGTATTTCATATTATCTTATTTTCAACTTAATATTTTTGTACTAACAAAATTTAATTTTAATCCTCATAACACAAAAAAAAAAATCTATTATTAATATAACTATAAAATAAACACATTATAAACCTCATACTCATAACATATCTTGTAGATGGATAATTTTGTTTAAAAAACTCTCCGCATGGGCGTATACATTTGCATAGTCGATAATTATCTCGACCTAACACAAAAAAAAATTTTATTAAGAATAAATCACCAATTTTTTGTTAATTTAATTTAAAATATTAGATAAATAAATTTCAAGTGTAGAAATAAAATTATTTAACTACTTATAATTATATCTACAAATAATAAATAATTATATTTATTTTCAACTTAAAATCTTACCTCATTTTGATGATTAGAATAACATAATTTATATAATAATCCATCTTATACCACATAATTTAAATATTTATAAAATTTACTTCAAAAATTATATATCTGCACGGACGCGCAGGTCCAAAATCTAGTAGATAATTAATGCATAAAAAACATGAGGTCTAAAGTTCAATTCCACTTAAATACAATATCTAAAAGTTAATGTAAAAAGCTATTATTTGAATTCAAACATATAGATTTTGTTTTAAGTATTTAGCATAACACATATTGACATTTATACAAGCCAATATATTACAAATTTTAAGACATATAATACGTACTAAAAAATGGTTTAATTTTTTTTGTATTTATTTTTTCTATTCAATAAAAATATAATATTTATATATAATTTTTGAAATCTTATAGTGATATGTGCGTTATATTTACACAGGACTATATACTACACATTCTAAGTTTAAGTTTTTTTTTAAATGGTCTAATTTTCTTATTGTCTTTATTATCCTATTTAGTTTAATATTTCATATGGTTTCATCATACGTTTTTCTCAATTTTTGACAAAATCTTTTACATGAATTGTACTTATTTTGAACTATTCTGTTTGAATACACACATATATTATTAACTATATTTGAATCTAGTTATTTTTTAAAATCAAGAAGGGCTTTGGGTCATCATCACAAACTTGAGATACTGATCATATAACTCCCACAACAATAACCCTAAAATTGTATCTCTAGCGAGGCTCTTCAAAGCCATTTGAATCCAACCGTTCGATGTGGTACCACCATCCGATGAATCTCTTCTTCCCACCAAATCCCTAAACCGGAGATCACCGGAATCCGATACCAAAGCATAAATCACACCATTCATATGTCCTTTTCCGATCACACCCACCACCGTTTTACACCCATCCACCGCCTTACTCCTCTTCAACGACCAAGCAAGATACTGTCATATCAATCATATTATATATCTTATCAAATCATTATTGACAAGAAAAAAGTATCAAACACAAATCTTGGTCCGATGGCATTAGGTTTGGTCCGGTGTGTTTTCTTCCCGGTTTTAAGAAACTTATACCAAATTAGCAACGTCATCATTCTTTTCTAGTTGATTTTGTTCGGTTAAACCAAATTTCATTTCAGCTCGGTATAAAAAAACATAGTTAAAACTTAAAACTTAAACATTAGGATTCAGAATAGATTTCGGTTTAGTTCGGTTTGGTTTGTATACTTACGGTGTCTCTTTCGTGTATTAGTGGCAGTAGGAGAGATGGGAATGAGAAACTTAGCCGTTCGTAAAGCTGCAGACTTCCATTGCCTTCATCAGTCTCTTGTTCCTGTTACAATGCATAAACAACTTATTTTCTTCTCAAAACTTCAAGGAGAACAAATTTGAGAAAAGAAAACCAAAACCTTAAGCTCTGCTTCCGGTATACCGGATGACGATGTGATTGCCTGAGTCACAGCCATCACCAGATTAAGCTTCTCTGCCCATTTCAACGAGTTCCACGCTCTTTGAAGCTACAAAACGTTTATCAGAGCTAAGTTCCATTGGCCTTTACATCCATATATATAATATATGTAAAGATCATTGTAGCATTACTGTTATTTCGATAGGTCGGTCTCCAAGAACCAGCTGCGCACCGACTTCCTCAGACGCTTTCCGAGCAGCACGAAACTGTAAAGCAAGGTTTGATCAAGAACACTCTCACCAACTCCAAGAATCGAAGACTAAATCTTGTAAACTCTCAAGAGTATACCTCATCACCGAAAGGACGGTTAGCGACAGAAGATAACTTGGAAGAGAAAACCGCCAAGAGAAGTCGTAAAGCTAAAGCAGTTTGGCCTCCTATACGATCATTCATCCCAACACACACACACACACACACATACATCAAAGAGTGAATCATTCATCCAACATTGAAGCTGCAGAAGGAAAACGAAGTAACTGAAAGAGGAAAGGTGGAAGCTTTGATAAGTATACCTAAGTCTAAGCTCCGGCCAACAGCACCGAGAAAGCCAGTTCCGGTCAATGACAACACACCGGATTTTAAGTTTTGGTCATCCTCTCCAACACTCGAAGTGTACATAATCCCAGCTCTGCAACATCAACATTCAGCTCTGCAATGTGTTACTGTCAGATACTTCTGTTCCCAAACTACAAAAAAATTGTATTTCCTCTACTCTCATCACACTGATCATGAGGCCTCAAATTGCGCCAAATCTAATCAATTTCCTCAAAAAGCATCAATTTTTTCATCAATTTCAATCTCAACCTATCCAATTCCCTCAAAAAGCATCGAACTTTTTCATCAATTTCATTCTCAACCTATCTGATTTCTTCAAAAAGCATCGAACTTTTTCATCAATTTCAGTCTCAACCTATCCATTGTCCTTAAAAAGCATCGAACTTTTTCATCAATTTCAATCTCAACCTATCTGATTTTTCCCAAAAGCATCGATTTTTTTTTATCAATTTCGTTCTGTTTCTTCGTAAACCCGAATCCTATGAGGGAAACAGAAATCGACTTTCCTGCTACGGCAGAGCTCGACGGCGACATTATCCGGCTTAACCGTGCGTACGACGCGCTCGACGTCGGAAGCAGAATCCGGCGAGATATGAGACGTGCCAACGAGCCAAATCGACTCCGGCTCGACGAACTCCTTACGCCAGGCCGGAGTCGGACCGAAACTCTGCTTCTGGACGAGAATCAGTGTCCCGTTATCGGCGAGGTCGAGCAGCTCCGGAAATGTTCTGGCGATAGCGGCGCGTGAGTCTGACGCGACCTCGTTGCGGAAATCGAAGTCCGGAGGAGGAGTCTGGACGGAGACTTTGATGGGTCTCAAAGGCTTTGAATCGAGAGGTTTATGAGTAAAGGGGAAGGTTACTGGATTTGGGAGGAACTTCATCGGGTGAAACAGAGAGATGATCAAGTTGAGATTTTTTTAAGGAAAATCTCTTTCGATGAGAAATGGGTTTCGATCTTTTTTTGTAAAAGTAGTGAAACTTTGATTGGTTTAGATTTTATTTGGGTGACTGTGATTTTTACAAGGATGACGAGAATGCACGTTCATGGCTTACAATGGAGTTTTGAAATTTTGACATTTGAATGTATGGATCCACAAACATGTAGTAAAAAATTATTCATCGTGGTAATAAAATACAATTAATTTTAACAGACTCGTGGTTCGTAAATTACCAGCCTTCCTGTGAGGTTTGGAGGGTGATTTCGTTTTAAAGTCTAGACGTTTACACTCAAGCACATTTTTTCCTAATGTGATTACATTTTGCACATTTATTTCAATATGACACACTTTCAAAAATATTTTGCATTCTTTATTTTCTTATTTACTCTTTTTTCTATAGTAAATTTTTTAATTATTAATTATAATTGAGTCATAGTCTGATCGGAGATGCTAGTATTTTTTTCATAATTACTATTAATGTTTGTGATAAAATTGAAAGAGTTTAGATGATTTTAGTTTTTCTGATTTCAGTTAGTAATGATAAAAACCAGAATCAATGGTGTTGTAATACAATTTAATACAATTCAGAAAGATTTTGACTTTCTCAAATATCAGATTTGAATGCATCTGATTTGCTGCTTGGGTTAATGTTTTGTTTCGATTTCGGAGAGTTGAGGATCTGAATATGTTTTTATTGCATACTCATTATTGAATTACAAGATTGGTGGTTTCGATCTATCTCTGAAAAAAATTATAGCTTTTGATGGAGAAGACAATGAACAGTAATTGATTGTCGGTATAAACGGATGCTCTTGGATAGTTGGAATGAAAACAGAATTTGGGAAGAATGTAACGATCACAATAAGTGGACAGACAATCGTGGACAGTTGATCATGAACAGACAATCATGGACGGATGATCGTGGATACAATAAGAGTAGCAGGAACAAAAAACAAAAGCTCACAATTGAGATTGTGATTTGAAAAATGGATGCCTGTAATTATTTTTTCCATCCATATGTGTCAATGATCATTTGTCCATCCAAACATATCCATGCGGTCATCTTGTTTTTGTTAATCAAAACATGTCTATGATCATTTTTATCCATCTGGATTTGTTCATGTCCATCTTGTTTTGTGCAATACAGAACTAACAACTGCTTGATTTTGTCCATATAATATGGTTTAGCTAAATGTTCATATTGTGAATCAGTACAATTTGTATCATGGACAAATGCAATTTGTACCAAATCTGATAGACAAAGAACTTTATGGAACACAGTTTAGTTATGCATGTTCGTCCATAGTTGGTTGTCCACACTTTAATCATCGATAGTTCAAAATCTTTAGCTTCATTATCAAATGATTATTTCTTTTCACTAGTATTTATCCATGATCGGTTGTCCATCGATGTTCAATATTTATCTCAGATCTCCATCATCAATGGTCGTACAAACCTGTTTCACTTCCAGATCTGCATCGTTAATGGTTGTCTGGCCTCTAAAACTCTACCACACCTAATTTTGGATTAGGGGGAATTATCTAACTCATGAAAATGGAAAACAAAGCTAATTGATGGAAGAAATTATTGAGATTAGATAAGATGTTGTAGAAACAGAAAATACTTAGGTGGTATTTGCAGAGATAAAGAAGAGTTAGAGAAGATGACCATAGGAGTTGCAGAAATCGAGAACTATGGTTTTTGGGTTTGGAATTCCGAATAAAATCACCACCATGAAAAAGAGAAACAATGAAAGCGTGTCACCAGTTATGATCTCCCTCATCTATTTACAGTCCTCAAGCTCCGCCGTTTTACACTAACAGAGAAACATAAAAATGAGATTTTGTTATTGATAGTGTTAAATCTGTGGTGGAGATATTTCAATCTTTTTGCAAGCTGAAAGTGTGTCACCAGTTAAAAGTGTCCAAATATGTAAGGGAAAGTGTAAAAAGTGTCACTGAGCGTAATTTTTTTTTAAAAGTTGTTCTCTTATGGGGAGGTTGCTTGTCTCATGCAATCAAGAATTGTTAGGCTTTGTTATCAAAAAAGAATTGTTAGGCTCTGTTATCAAAAAAAAGAATTGTTAGGCTCTTGTCGATTGCTTTGGTGTGATTTTTTAGAAGGTGAAGTCTCTTTACTCTGTTTTGTTGCGTTCTTTCTGCTGATGTCGCAGCTGATTGTGTTAGGCTTAGATAGTTCTTTGGAGAGTTCATTGTAACAATTGTCTCTAACTTCTTCCAGAATCCATATTATTTATTAACTTAATCCACTAATAATCATTTCCAAATTCATATAATAATTCTTATTAAACATGTTTAAATTAATTCAACATAAAACCATTTTTAAATTAATAAAAAAGATAACCGACTAAATCATTTTAGTTCAAATAATAAATAATACTAAAAATAGTAAATAAATAAAAATGCTCATGATCCCGAAAACTAGCACTGTAATACGATTTTTCCGGCTACTCTTCACACTCACCTGCAAGGAAGAGGGGTGAGTAATTAGAATTACTCAAACCAACCCCAATGGTCAACTTTAGAGATCTTATAATTGTTATTAGCATTATAATTTAATAAATATAATATATTGAGTGTCTAAAGTTTAAGATGGAGATCCAAATTAGGATCTTTTTTCTAAACAGAACAGACATATGTCAATTTTTTATTGTATAAAGAAACATTTTTTGGATTTGTTTGTTTTGTCTATCTTTTCCTCTTCGACAAAAAAAGTCTTTCTGTTCCTCTTTCTCTCTTTGACGCAAAAATTTCCAAATTCATTGTGTTTCAATTTGGTGAAAAAATTTCTGGAGTCCTAATCGATGAGCCAGAGAAGGAAGCTGGTTCGGGTGGTGACCAGAGAAGGAAGGTGGTTCGGGTGGAGAAGGAAGGTGGTTCGCTGGGTAATTTCGATTACAGTTTAATTTTTTCGTTCGTTATGTATGTCTTTGTTCGTTATGTCTGAGCAATTTAAGAATAAGTTTTTATGTATTACTTTTATGAAAATGTATAGTTTATATGTTTCTATGTATTACTTTTATGAAATGTATTATGTTTAAAAGTTTTTTAAAATAAGTTTTTACATAAATTTATAAAATATTTTTTTAAGACATTTATCAAAGTGTCTCTATTGTATATTTAAAAACAAGAAAATCTTACAAAGTGTCTTAACTACGTAAAGTATACAAAATATTAATAATAAATTATTAAGACTCCCCCTAATGGTATTACTATTGGGGTTGCTCTTAGTGATTAGAAGCCTTAAAACCCACTTAATCTATCATACACATTTATAATAATAGATATATTTATTGATGTATAGAGACATTATTATAATTTATAGAGATATTTTCAGTTTGAATTCTTAATGTTTATCAAAAGACAAAAAAATTTGGTTTTCCGTAAAACTCTCATGCTTTTTTTATGGAGTCATTTAAAAATTATAAGAAGCAAATATTATAATAAACTCATGTGCGGGTCAAAATTTATAATGAAAACATGCTTGCAAGCCAACCATTAAAAAATTATATATCAATCCAATCTCTTTATAATAAACAAAGAGATGCGTATTTATTTCTAACCTGAATATGCATGCACAAACATACGTATCTATTTCTTTTTAAAATTTAAACATACATTATAAAAATATATCACAAAACATATATTTTGTTAGTATCTTTTAACGCATAAAAATCATACTTCGACTTTTCCAAATATATGCGTGCAAATATAAATATTAATTACATAAAAGTCAAAGTCGCATGCGAACTTGTCGTGTATACATTTCGTTAACTTCGATTACAGTTTAATTTTTATTTTAAATATTCAAAACTTATATTTATTTATTTTTAAATCTCTATGTGTGAGCCCCATCTACCCTCTCTTGGGATTACTAAAGATGGTAAAACTTATTTCTGTTTAATTTGTAATAAATCAAAAAAGAAATATATAATTAATATATATATATAATATTGTGTAAGGAGAAAATAAAACATAGTATAGATAACATTTTTAAAAAATATTATAAGAATTTAATTATTATTTAATATAACTTTTATATTTACAATTATATGTCACTATAAATATTAGTAAATAATAATAAATATTAAAATAAAGAAGTTTTAAAAAGCATCAAAGTTTCTCGATTATCGAAACATTGCTTAAAACTAAAGGTTGGTGCTCCAGTCATGTGTCTTCGTAACTGATCTTAAAGGTGGAATATGCACTGGAACTAGATTTATTATTACTCAAATGGCTCGATATATGGTTGAAAGTAGAATCATAACGGGAAATGAGAAACAGATTGGTCAAATAGTTCTAATCTTTAGAATGTATGTGACACCACCAGACACAAAGTTTCCTTTCAGAATGTGTCGTAGACAATTCCTTTTGCCTTAAGCTTTCGCAATGACCATAAAAAAAAAAAAGCCAAGGACAATCACTTGAAAATGTCAGTTTGTTTCTACGTAGACCAGTTTTCTTTTTGCACATTTCCTTCTTTATCTATTATGTTGCGTTATCTAGAATTAAGTTTAGATCCAGACTTAAAGTTTTCATAACAGACAAAAAAAGAAATATGCAAAAAAAAAACTACGAACATCGTCTATAAAAAGTGTTTCAAAAACTTGCTTAGTTTTTATGCTTTTGATATATTTTAACTCTACTTTTTATATGTTTTAACGTTTTTTTGTTTATTTTTGTTATCACATTTACACTTTATATTGAATTCTATAACATTTTTCATTTAATTTATAGCTATTTATATTATTAAATATTTATATAATATTATTACTTAAAACATAATTAATCACGTATAATTAGTAATAAATCAATATATAATATTAGTTATATATTGAACATATAAAATATTTTATAGTCCACACACGATGCGGGCCGATCACCAAAATGGTGGTCAAATAGTTTTAATTTTTAGGATGTATG